TTGAGGCGTAACTAATATCGCCTAGATTTCGGATTCGGATCGGGCGTAATTATCAGGTTTCGCCCGAACCTTTAATTTAAATAATAAAAAGAATTATTTTTCAGAATAATGAAAAAAACTATTTTTCAAAATGATGATAAATTGTTTTGAAAATATAATAAAAAAAATTATTCTTTTAGAATGATAATGCATTGTTCTAAAAGAACAATGATAAATATATCATTCTTTTAATAAAAAATATCATTCTTTTAGAATGATAATTAATATATCTTTTAAAGAAATAATAAAAAATTCATTTTTTCAGAATAATTTTTATCATTCTTTGAAACAATTTTTATATTGTCTGTTTGAAACAATTTTTTTATTTTTTATAAATAATTGTATAATTCCTTTAAATAATTATATTATTTTTTTAAGAACAATTATATTATTATTTTAGATAATTTCTTTAACTCTCATCCAATTGAATTTTTGCAAAATCAGCTTAACTAATTTTGATTAATAAGATATTATCTATTTATTATAATTTTTATGCCAAATTTTAAGTCTAACTAAATTTTTGCTAAATATTATAACTAAAAGTCTTAATGTTGAAATTATGCTAAATTATGTATATTATAACAAATAAATATTAATTTTTATAATTTAAGCTTAAAATTCTTAATGCTAAAATAATGTTTAATAATAAATAACTATTAATTTTTATAACACAAGCTAAATTTTTACTAAATTACATGACTGATTCAGCTAAATATTTATTAAAAAGTATTAATATTAAAGAAATAATTTTACTAATATAATATTTAATTTATTTTTAAGTTTTTTGTCATTTTAAAAATGATAAACTAATTACAATTTCAATAATGATTATGATAATAGACAAGAATAAATAATATATTTATTAGCATCACTAGTTAAACTAAAATTCTTAGTTTAAATTTATTAAAGTTAAATATTAAAACTAGTTAAGTTAATAGCTAAAGCTATTAAAACTAGTTTTATTTAACCAAAACTAATTTTTAATAGTTTAGGATAGTAATTTTAGTATATAAGACGTTTGCAATAGAAAAGGAAAAACTTTGAAAAAAATCAATTTTACTTTTATATACCAAATATGATTTTTAAGTTGAAATATTCAAATTTAACATTAACTTATTTTTATTTTTTTTGACAGTTTTCTCTTTTCTATTACAAAGGTCTTATATTATAATCCATAATATAAAACTGTTGTTTTTTAATTTTCTGTAGTATAATTTATTGAAATTGTTTACAAAAAAAAAGATAAATGTTGATATAATTAAAAGGTTTATTAATATATTTTATTTGTATAATTTTATAAAATATATTGGTTTTTATTATTTATTGAATTAGTTTATTATAACCAATTCTTATTGTTTTATGTATTACATATATCATTATATTTTGAACTTTTTTTATAAATTTTATTCATTCAGTTTCATATTATAAATAGAAGATAATTATATTACATTTTTACTTATTCATTTATAAATTCAAAAAAGCAATTATAATACTATTAGCTTTAATATAATTAATTAAAAAATAATAAAAATTTTAATAATTTTTAAACTGGTGAATTATCTTTAAAGTTTTTATAACAGCTTCATTATTTTATTATAATAAAAAAGTATGTTCTAAATTTCTAATAGCTAAATTATTGCAAATATATAATATAATGTATTCTAATCATTTTTTATTTTATAAGTAATAAAGAACTTAATAAAATTCAACATAATATCCTTTATTTCTTAAGAAATAAATAACTTCATTTATATTAAATTTAAGATTTGCTTTTTCTCAAGATGTATATCTTATGTTTTATGAATTTATTTTTAATATTAGCAACTTTTTTATATTTTAATTTATTTATACTAGATCTAAGATTTATATTTTTAGTAGCAAACTTCTTAACTGTCGAAACTATTACTAATAATAAATAATTTTTTATAGCTTTTTACTCTAATAACTTTCTTACAGCTTTTAAACATTTTAATTTTTCACTTTTTTCTAAAAAATATGTATATTTAGAACTATTTTGATATTATTTAATATGTATTTTTACTTGTATAATAAATCAAAATATTTTAATTTTGTAAAACATAAATTAGAAGAATAAATCTTTATTTTTCAATATATTTCTACTAAATGTTATGGTAATTTTGACTACAATTTTAATGTCAATTTTATTTTCTTTTAGAACAATTTTATAAATCACTTTGTCAAATTAGTCTCCTTAATAATTAATGTAAATTAATATAAATATATAAGATCCTATCTATTAAAATAGGTTACCAGTAAAATTAACTTTTATATGTAATCTTATCTTATGATTTTCTTTAAATTCTATTGGTTAATTAAACTAAAAAGGATAATAATGTTACGTTTATAATAGGATCTTTAAAGAAATTATATAATAATTTTATTTTAGAGTAACATATCTTAGTAGTAAGTAGATCTTAGATATATATATATATTAACGTCAATTAATTTTATAATGAGTTAGAAGTTGGAACCAGTTTTATTTTAACAAACTTATTTTTAATTTGAAACCTAAATTTAAAATGAATTTATATAAAACTGGTTTAACTAGGCATTCAGTTATAATAAAACTAAAAAACCAAATTGTAATCTTAATGATTTTTGAATTTTAATTATTTTTTATTAAAAGAAAAATATTAAGACCCATTATATAACAAAATGTTAACAAAAAAAATTAGATTTTTTGAGGTAGAAAAATATTAAAATATGCACTATTTCTCTTTAAAAATAAAACTTGATTAACCAAATTTGAAGATAATTGAAATATGTAATTTGTGTCGCTTCATCATTTTTTTTTCTTGACAATAGAGTTTTTATTTGATCATTGTCTGATTTTGTGCGTGGTGATTAAATTTATGCAGATCAATTTTTTTTTTTTTTCCAAAGACTATCATAAATTTATAAATCGAGTTGATTTAAACCGGATTACAGAATACGATCACGTACATATGGATATTTTTTTTTTTTTTGGTTGAGTTACTGTAGGTTAACTAAAGTTAGCGTAAACAATTTTTTTTTCTATTCGACGTATTATCATAAAGTTTCCTGATGTAGCAAATCTAAATTTTCTAAATTAGGATTCCATTTAATATTTGAAACAACAAATATGTATGTTCAATCTTTAAAAAAAACTGTACACTTGAATTTACTTATATGTTTTCATTTATATAACAACTATTAAAAATAATGAATATCACACTTAACAAGTTCAATTTTTTCTCGATTCCTTTGCAAAATTTAATTTAAATTATTTGAAATAATTTTTTTTCTTTGATTATGATTCCTCTAAAATTATTATTCTATATTTTTGTGTTTAGTGACTTTATTTTAAAAGTAAGTCCATTTGTCCCACAAGGACGTTTAGCTCATACATCAATTCATGTAGGAGATAAAATATATTTTTTTGGTGGGGTTCATAATAGTGGCGTTACATCAAAAGAAATATTTTATCTTGATGTAACTCGACCTTTTGATACAGCACTTCCGCCTTGGACTGAACTTTCGATAATTTCACCAATTCCTGTTGAGAGTGCGTGGGCAACGGTTTCAACCAATATAAAGAATTCCACTATATACTTAATCGGAGGAATTCCCTTTAAAACAATAATTCATTCATATGAAATTGAAACACATGAATGGAATAATTTACCTGGCATAACGTTGGTAGGACGTAGGAACATGCAAGCAGTTAGTAATGATTCTGGAAAAATTTATATTTTTGGTGGGTTTGTTAACTCACCATCAGGATTACAGTTTACAAATGAATTGACTATCATTGATATAAATAGTTTATCTTTGTCAATTGGGTCTACAATGGGCGCTCCTTTAGCTAGAATGCTTTATACCGCTACAATGTTACCTAATGGCATTATTGTTTACATTGGAGGACAAGGAACTGATGATGCGGATGGGGACCCATATGTCGATATGAGTCAAATTAATCTTTATGATACAAAGAAAGGAGCATGGTCATTAAAAAGTAAGTGAATTAGTATTTTATAAAATCTTACTATCTGTTGCTAAATAAGATTTATAATTTATTTAATAGGTTGCAATAAATGATGCCAAGGTAGGAGCTCGTTCGGTTCATTCAGCCGTCTTAACACCCGATAATAAAATTATAATATTTGGTGGAGAGAAAAATAATATAAATAAAATTGCTGTTAAAGCAGTACCAGATTTGGCTATTTTGGAAATACAAGATGGTTCATACATATGGACTGTTCCGCAGACATCATCAGATATCGGTGAATATCCATCGCTTGGAGCTCATACAGCTCATTTAGTTGGCAATTATATGATTGTAGCATTTGGTAATTGGAATTTTTTAAACTTTATAACGAATCATTCATTTCATAAATTTATTATTAATTGATTTATTATTTGTAAATTAGGAAATTATACAACACCCAATTATATTCCTTTGGATCATACAAATCCAAATATTTATATAATGGATATAAAAAGCTTTACATGGGTTAAAGCATTTGAACCTCCCGTTTCTCCTATTACAACTACGCAAAATAGTCCATCAAATACTACAACTACGCAAATTAGTCCAACCGGTCCATCAAATTTAAAGAATGACGAGGATCAAACAAATAATACACTGAAACTTGTAATTGCTACTTTAAGTGGGATTGTAGGCACCGCTTTATTCGTAGCTTTAGTATTTTTTATGTATAAACGTCATCAAAAAAGTAAGATTCTCAGAGTACATGGTTCATACCGTTCAACCATGCTTTGAAAATTACTCCTAATTATGATATTATTTTGATTAATATTTGTATTTAGAAGATATGTTTAAAAGCGCATTCATTAATTTTTGTAGTAAATATTTTTTTTTTTTGTCAGAATAAGTTACATTGGCGGATCGAGCAATGTAAAGATATTATTAGATTGATAAAAATTAGTTTCACTACTGTATCAGTATATTGATGGATAAAAATAAGATAAATAGTGTTTCTAACCAGATTTGAGCTAGTTTATTTAAGGACTACTACTCCTTTGGAAGTTTTCTTTTTTAAAAATCCAATCAGATTTGACGAACATGATTTTTTGAAATTTTTATTTTATAAATTCCAACAATAAAAAAAAGTTTGAAAATCATGATTAAATATTACTTTTTTCCAAGTTGTTATGAATATTCATCGTCCAAATAATTTTTTCAAAAAGAGAATCCAATCCTTAAAGTAATGTACAAATATTGCACTTATTATAAAATTTTATTCAATATAATTGCGAGGGCAAAACTTATTTTATACAATTTCTAGTTTCGAAAATTTTATTGATTTATTCTAGTTTTTTGACTATTTTAGTTTCGACGCAACCTTATTAATCATGTCATGTGTCTAAATTTAGTTAGAATTTCCAAAAGATTTCATGAAATCAAAAAATTTTTTCATTTGATGTCCATAAAAAGAAAATTCTAGTTTTTTATGGCCGAAAATACTCTCTGAACACATGCATCCTTAAGAAACTTTATTTTACTTTATCAAAAAGTTTCCGAATATATGTAGAAAATTTATTGCAATGAAGAAATTGAAAAGTTCACAATGCACTGTTACATTCTTTTAACACCATACTTCCGACTATTCTTACGATGAATTTAGTTGCTAAAATGTAGAAAAGTTCGTGATTAAATTAAATCATGCCAACCGAAAATATTTGAAGGATTCAATAATTAATACGTTGTCATAATATTATCAATTCACTATTGTTAGATTGGAAAAAATTAAAAAGGCAAGTACTGGCCTTTATGGTAACATAAGAGCGCCACCTTAACTATACAAATTAGCAAATGTTTATTAATTATAAATTCTTAATAAAATCTACCAATTAGAATTTTTGCTGTCGTCTTTTCGAGTAACACAAATTCATTAAATGGGGAGAACGTCGTCGTTAGTGATCGCCACGATAACGAACGATAGGTACATTGTTTTATTGGTTTAAGGATATTTTTATGGTACAAATTTCTTTCTTTACATTTATTAAATCGATGCTCAATATAAATACAGCTTAATAAATTCATTTTATAGGAATATAGGGATAAATTTAAAAACATATTTAAAAATAAATAAAAAATAAAATACTAATTACAACGCGTTGCCGAAGATTTGGTCGATCATTCTTCGAGCAAAGCCAATTTTTCGCGTAACAAATTAATTTCATCTTGAGCATCGAAATATAACGTTTCAAAAGTCGAAACTTTAATTTCCAAATTACGGATATAATTAGCACGTCTTTGGCAATAAATTCTTTGATTTGTTATATTCTGATAATGTTTTTTCTGTAAATCCAAAAAAAAAATTAATATGGGTGAAATAACGTTTCACTCATAAATTTGAAAGCTTTACTTACAGACACAGGCATCGTCGTCGCAGAAGCTTTGCGACCTCTTTTTTCGATTGGATTAGCTTCTGTCGGTTGTTCTAACAGAGAGAAGACAAAAAATTAACGGATATAAGTTAAAGGTTCAAGTTGATTAAAACAAGAATTTACTCTTACGGGATGTATTATTATTCTGCGGTGTCGAAGGTGTTTGGGGTTGAGAACTTGTTGTTGGGCAATAAGAAGTTGACGAAGGTTCACAAGGTATGTGCATTTTGATCAGATATTTATGAGATATTATGAAGGTTTATTAGAGAAAGAAAGGGTGGATTGGACGTGATCAAATTGAAAAAGTTCATTTATATATCCATTTGAAAATAATTCCGAAAGATCATCTAATATCACGCGCAAAGTAGTGTTAAATTAATATATTCATTGGTGGGTTAATTTTTAAATTCGCATATTTATCAAATAATTTAAGCGAATGAAATGATGATTTCTTGACGCGTGCCTTGATTTCGTGAAAATGATTTGTTTGCAAGTAGCATCTCACCCTGCGTTCATCATAACCATTTATGGCTTTCATCTATTTTTCCTTGTTCGCCGATCATTGATATATACTTAGTGAGTTGCCTAATTTAATCTAATTCATAATCTTGAAACACATGAACATATGAATAAATCATATTCAAAGTGACACGCGGCTAAATTTTATTTCTAATTTCGTATCAATTTGAAATTTAGTAGATCCTTGAATTTTTAATTAGTCAACAAATAAACAAAATCAATCTTATTTGTTTGTAAAAGAATTGTTCTCATTTTAACATTTAAGGCTCAGCGTTATCAATTTCCTTTATAAATTTCATGAATACATGTCATTTCCTTGTGAATTTTTAATTAGGAAATTCAGGACAATATCATTGTCAAAAATCCCTTTTCACGAGTTATTATTATGAAAAATGTCATTTTACAATTACTAGCGGCGGAATAATGTTTGTCCGAGATCTGATAAATTGAATTTCTCAAGTTACACATAATCAGATAACTTTGCCAATAACTTTTTTCTTTTTAACATTTGAAAAATTTATTTTTCTTAATGATCATTGGGACTAACCATATATGGATATTTTTTTCTTAATAATATTGTAAAATCGTATTATTAAATGAGCGACGATTTAAAAATAAATTAATAAATAAATTATTATTATATTATTATATTTTCGTAAAAATTATTTGAAATATAAATTTTACGTTATACATGTGCTTATAAATAACATTTTAATACGTTGAAGTGATAAATCTTTTATAAATTAAAATTACTTCTCTTGGGGGAATTTTTTTTGTTTGCATACATAGAAAAAAAATTCATTGCATAAATATTCATTACTCAATAAAACTTGTACATATTATTATGAAATTGTCAACTTTACATATAGTGTAACAAATTAACACATTGATCTAAAAAAATAATCGGTTAAATTTAGTCGCAATAGTAATATATATCTCTCTACATATGAAATATGTTAAGGATTTTTACTTCGATTACGACAAAAATTATTGGAGACAAAAATATGATTATCTAAAGAATTTTTTTTTATTTTCACACATTATTCTTCTTAATCTGTAAGATTGTGATAAAAGTTTATACTTTTGTCCACTCGTCAATACCGAATAAAATAACCCCTAATAAAGATAATGTTACGATTACGAAACGTATACGGAAAAGATAAGGAAACATGTGCATAATCCCGTATTTCATGTAGATAACGAAATTTGCGCATACTGAACCCCGTATATTTATTTTTAGTCTGATTCAAAACGAATTTTTTTTTGAGAATTAGAAATTGAGATAAATGCGCAGGATTCGTTAAAATCAAATATATAATTGCATTATAATCGCTTTATTATAATTACGAGTACCTGTATGGTTATATAAAATATGCATTAAAATGAAATCTACATGATACGACATCGTCTATTTGATTTGATTTGTGGTGTTATGCATATCTCTCCATCGATTAAAAATGCTTGCATAAAAAAAAAATATAAAGATCTTCACTGTCAAATTGATTGGTGCATTAATAAAAATTTTCACAAAAAAGGTTAACCTTTAATATCAATATCAAAAAAAAATAAAATAAAATAAAAATAAAGTTCGTGGATATTACACAAATTTTAACAAAAAATAATTGTATTTGATATCCAAGGATTAGTAGGTAAATATTGAATATTGATAAAGAAAGAATATGTCTAGAATTTGTAATTTTAATTGTTTTGTAACTTTTAACATAATTTCAGAATTATTTTAAATAATTTAATGATAATTTAGATGTTTTACGTCTTAAATGCATTTGAACCTAAAAATATTTTCAAATTAAATGTTGCATACTAGCCTAAAATTACTAACTATTCTGAAAGTTTGAATTTACATTACAAAATTAGTCCAAACCTAAAAAAGAAACTAAAAGAAATGTTGTTAACATTATCAAAAGATCATCAAAAATTGATCTTCAAATTTATAGTTGACTTATTTGACAAATATGATAGATTGGTCATATTTGACCGATGATCCA